AACTTTGTGATCTCTACATTGAATGATGCTCTTTTTTTTTCTGTAAACCTACCTTTCCTACTAGCCCTGGAGGACTTGTATAGCTGCATGTTCCAGAGAATATTGACAGCCCAAAGCCCCATCCACCTCAACACTTCCAGATCTCCTTTCCACCGCCTGCAGCAGCCGACCTGGGGGGCTCGACTGGCTCCGGCAGGGGGTGCTCTGACTTTGCAGTTCCATCTTTTAGATAGATTCGATAAGTGTGAAGAGGGGAAAATGACTGAACTAGTGGAGCTTTCCACTTTTGTATCTTCCTGAATTTTTTTTGGGTTTGTATCTTATCAAAAGGACGTTCCAATCACCTAGGAATAACTTTTTTCTTATTAAGAAAGAAAAGAAAATGGGAAAAAAAATGCAAAATAATTCTTATACAAGAATGAATGCGTGTTGTAAGTTATGTGTTTGGTCTATTTCTTGCTGGTGGGTGTTGTTCTTAAAGCGTATCTAACCCACAAACCAAAATCTCATATATTGCAGTTTACCAGTTTAAAAGTGGCGGCTGCGTTAGTTTCCTTTTTATCAGGTGTATTTTTCCTTTATTGCCATCTGGTGATTGATGGCACTCAATCACTGTACTGTGTCTTTGAAGGAGCAGCGTCGTCACACAAGACCACGCTCTTGGTTTGGACTACAAATGCTGACTCCTTGTTTCACCGCCATTACATAGGTGGAGGGGGGTGTTTTGTAGTTCACCGAAGAAAGCTGATAACATTGCTTGAGAAAAGTGCACAGAAAGTTACAAGGACATTATAATTCTGACAAGATAACAGGTAATGTACTGGCTAGAAAGGGACTGCTAGGCTGCAGTATGTTACATTTTTGTTCTTGGATTTAGGTATCCTTGGAGCAGCTCAGCTCTGTTCAGAGAACAAAAACTTAAGGTGTTTGCACATACCTGCAGCAGTCTCCAAAACCCTGACCCTACGGCCAATTCCCAGGCTGTTCTGATGAGGAACAACTCCTGAAATTCCTGCCTCTCTTTCTGTTCATCAGCAGGGTGTCCATCATAGTGATGGGCCTGTAGGATTGTGTGGCAGGAAGGGTGGTAGCGGCAAGCTCTGATACTATCTGGAAGTGCCTGAGATTCAGCTGTCACAGCTTGAAGGCGGGAGCCTCCCTTACCAAGCTGTGCATGGATCTATTTAGCATCTAAATAAAGCCACTCATTTACATAGCCAATAAAGTTTTAACATGACTACTTCTGTTTTCCAGCGACGTAAGCCATATAATAGTGGAGTGAAAAAAATGGTCACTCTCCCAAGGAACAAAGTTACAGCACTGGATTGTACACTGATGTGGGCACCTGCATAATATTTTGCCTGTTTGGTTTTGGCAGATAGTTATCCTGGCTTCCTTAGAACAAGCAATGCTCAACCTTTCTATCAGGTCCTTTTTGAACTGCAGTGTTGTCATTTTTACATTGGGGGCAGTAAGAGCTGTTAAGGGACCTCAAAAGAAATAGACACAAGCAGGTCCTAAGCAGTGTGACAATACCACATAAAGCCGATGTAGAGACGCGTAGTACCAGCATCACAGAAAGGTAGTGTGGCAGGTATGTGTGACTCACAAAACTGGCTGCACACAATTACAAAAATTATGATTGGTGAACCAGTTTACATGTATGTGATTTAACTGTGTAGCTTTCACACTGGAGTTCTGCTTTAATGTCTGTGCAAAAAGAGCTTTCAAAATGGAAAAAAATGTATTTCTTGTCCATTGACGGACTCCGACAAAGACTGTAACGTTCAGGGATTACTGCTACTCACAGAAGGCCTGGACACTGTAGACTCGCCCAGGATAACGCCTCCTACTACCACCAGTGTGCCTCAGTTTTTTTTGCTAGTGTCCTAGGAGGAAGGACATTTTTACTTTAGTTCTCCTAGGGGGGGGGGGGGAAAA